GTACTCGTCACCCCTCAAAACATGGCTTAGGCGTGCAGTGCGCATCCTATCTCAGCTCACCATGGCCTTAGCCTCCCACCCACTACAGAGTAATCTCTCGTGCACTCAGCTCCCCCAGTCAGCTGTATTACCAGACACACGTGCCATTATGATGCCTCAGCTAATTCTCTGTGTCTGATTAGTAGAGACACCGGCCGCCGGTTTTCGCGAATGTTGGCTCAGGCTGGCTCTCAAACTCCTTGCGCCCCAAGTGGATCCCGCCCTGCCTCTGGCCTTGCAAAGGCTGGGTTAACAGGTATGAGCCTACCACACTTGGCCAAACCTGCCAGCTATTTTTTCTTTTCTTTTTTTTGAGATGGAGTCTCCACTGTTTGCTTTGGGCTGGACTTGGCTTCACTGCAACCTCCGCCTCCCAAGCTTCAGCAATTCTCCTGCCCAGCCTCCCAAGGCAGCTGGGACTACAGCCGCGCCTCACCACCATACTGGCTATATTTTTTGGTATTTTTTACTGAGATGGGGGTTCCCACCATATTGGCCAGGTGGTTTCTTGTAACCTCTCTGGCCTGCGTGATCCACCCACCTTGGCCTCACAAATGCTGGGATTACAGGCATAATGCCTACATGCTTTGCACTCTAGTCCACTTTTTTTTTTGAGACAAGTTCTCTCGGCAAGCTGTGTCCCTCAGGCTGGAGTGTGTGGCACGAACTTGCTCACGCAACCTCTGCCTCCGCGAGGTTCAAGCGCAATTCTCACCTGCCTCAGCCTCCCAAGTAGCTGGGATTACAGGTCGCCCGCCGCCATGCTCCCAGCTAATTTTTTTGTATTTTTAGTAAGCAGATGGCGGTTTCACCCGTGTTTAGCCGCATGGTCTCAATCTCCTGACCCTCGCCTGCCCTTCAGCTTCCCAAAGTGCTGGCATCTACCAGGCATCGCGCACACACAAGCGAACCAAAATAAGGCCACCTGACACTTTTTTACGAACATGGGACTCGGTGCTGTTACAAACGAATCTGGTGACCAGAAAAACTAGAATGCCAATATCCGTATCCTTACAGTCTGGGTACGGTTATTGTATATCCACACTGTTCTCTATCTGTTATTGTTGATAAGAAAGAAAATACTAATGAGGGAGAAGGAGGGAGAAATAGCAAAAGAGGGAGGAAGAGAGTAGAAAACATAAGGCCAGGCAGGGTGGCTCACACCTGTAATCCCAGCACTTTGGGAGGCTAAGGCAAGTGAATCACTTGAGGTCAGGAGTTCGAAACCAGTCTGGCCAACACAGTAAAATCCTGTCTCTGTTAAAAACAAAAAACTTAGCCAGTCATGATGGTGGGCGCCTATAATCCCAGCCACTTGGGAGGCTGAGGCAGGAGAATGGCTTGAACCCAGGAGGCGGAGGTTGCAGTGAGCTGAGATGTGACACTGCACTCCAGCCTGGGCGACAGAGCGAGACTCTGTCTCAAATAAATTAATTAATTAATTAATAAAAGCAGTTTACTTGTATTAGGGTTATGGGATTATGGGGATTTTTTGAAAAAAATTTTGAAAGCTATTTTAAGAGTAAATATAGGCCGAGTGCGGTGGCTCATGCCTGTAGTTCCAGCACTTTGGGAAGCCGAAGTGGGCAGATCACGAGGTCAGGAGTTCGAAACCAACCTGGCCAACATGGAGAAACCCCGTCTCTACTAAAGATACAGAAAATTAGCCGGGCATGATGGTGGGCACCTGTAAGCCCAGCTACTCAGGAGGCTGAGGCAGGAGAATTGCTTGAACCTGGGAGGCGGAGGTTGCAGTGAGCCGAGATCATGCCATGAGACTCCATCTCAAAAAAAAAAAAAAAAAAAAAAAAAAAAAAAACTATACACTGGGGCTCTGTGACTCTGGCACGGTATACTTTGTCAAGGTTAATACTTCACTGAACCTCTGTTTGCCCCTAGGTAAAATGGGGACAATATCAGTACATACCTCATAGAGTTGTTCTGAAGATTAAATAAGATCCTTCATGTAAAACACTCAGCTGAGTGCCAAATGCACAATAAAGATCCAATAAATGTGAGCTATTCTTGTCATTGTTATTTGATCATTATTATTATCAGTGAGGGGAAATTCTCACGTGCTCTAGGCGGGAGTGTAAACTGCTACAGCTTTTCTGAAAGGCAGTAAAGTAATAGACATACAAATTTTAAACACTAAAATCCTTTGTTCTAGGAATTTCATGTCTGGGAATTCACCTTAGCAAGTAATCTTAGTAAATAATCTGACATGTACAGTGAAAGGTGTGAACAAGAATATTTTTATCACAGTTATTTATAATAGGAAAAGATTGGAAACAACCTAAAAAATCCAGCAATAGCTAAGTAAGTTATGAGACATACATATGATAGAATACTCTGGAGCTATTGAACAGGATATGATATACCCTTTTGTAATGATATAGACATGTGCCTATGTCATTACATAAACAGAAGGTAACAGAACAATATAGTCTCATTTATACAAGAAAGTAAATATGTGCATTTAAAAGCCTAAAAGGGCTGGGTGTGGTGGCTCATGCCTGTAATCTCAGCACTTTGGGAGGCCGAGGTGGGCAGCTCAGCCGAGCTCAGGAGTTTGAGACCAGCCTGGCCAACATGATGAAACCTTGTCTCTACTAAAAATTAGCTGAGTGTGGTGGGGCGCACCTGTAGTTCCAGCTACTTGGGAGGCTGAAGCAGGAGAACCTGGGAGGCAGAGGTTGCAGTGAGCCAAGATTGCGCCACTGTACTTCAGCCTGGGCAACGGAGGGAGACTTCACCTCAAAAAAAAAAAAAAAAGAAAAGTCAGGCATGGTGGCATGTACTTGTAGTATCAGCTGTTTGGGAGGCTGAGTTGGGAGGATCACTTGAGCCTGGGAGGTCGAGGCTACAGCGAGCTGAGATCACACACTGCACTCCAGCCTGGGCAACAAACAGAGACCCTGTCTTAGAAAAAAAGAAAAGAAAAGAAAAAACCTGGAAGGAGAGATACCAAACTATTATCACAGGTTGCCTCTGACAGGACTGTCACTTGCTCTGAATTATTTGAAATTTTTGTATATATAACTTAGAAAAATCCATGATGTGTGTGTGTGTGTGTGTGTGTGTGTGTGTGTGTGTCTGTCTGTCTGTCTGTCTGTCTGCCTGCCTGTTAGACTAAAGTAAGTCCTGGCTGGAGTTAGAAATTCCAAGATTGGAGATTAAAGCCTGGTAAGATGCGGCAGAGTTGGTTTTTCATCAGTTCAGAGACTCCTTAGTCCCAGGTCTGGGAGTCAGCAACTGTATTGAATTCAGCTTGAGATGGAAATGAGGGAGATTCATGGAGAGCAAGCTTGGGAAAAGGAAATAGACATGCAGAGATTTCCTGAATTAATAATAATCGGCCAGGTGCGGTGGCTCACACCTGTAATCCCAGCACTTTGGAAGGCTGAGGCAGGCGGATCACTTGAGGTTGGGAGTTCGAGACCAGCCTGACCAACGTGGAAAAACCCCTTCTCTACTAAAAATACAAAATTAGCTGGGTGTGGTGGTGCATGCCTGTAATCCCAGCTACTCGGGAGGCTGAGGCAGGAGAATTGCTTGAACCCAGGGGGCGGAGGTTGCAGTGAGCTGAGATCACACCTTTGCACTCCAGCCTGGGCAACAAGAGTGAAACTCCATCTCAAAAATAAATGAATAAATAAATAAATAATAATCATGAGAGCCTTTGCAGAGTGTTTTATACTTTGCACTGTCAATTTTGCCCAATGCAGAGGACTATCTCACAAGATAGATAGACTGGAGTGATCACTGAGGAGACAGAGTCCCAGCATGTGAAATGGTACTGAGAGGCAGAGCAGGAAATGGAAGTCAATATTCTGAACCCTTAACCCCTTCCAGCTCTGAAGCTTGAACAAAATAAAACTCATCCAGCTCCCAGCCCAGTGCCTGGCACACAGGCGTCTTCAAGGCACCTGGCACCTTCTCCTCCAGGTGTGCTGCCTAGGTCCATGGGTGGCTGCTGTACTCTGGTTGCATTATCTCCACCCTTAGGGTCATCTGTTGTCCTTCAAGTTTGCTTTGCTCCAGCCAGACTCACTGTTTCCTTTCATCATGACCCTTTCCATCTTCATCACACTGTTCCCTCATCCTAGAATATCATCTCCCTTTGTTCTGAGCCTCCTCCAACCTTCCTGCTTCCCTACACATCCAAGTCCTATTGGTCCTCCAAGATGGGTGCCAAATGCCACCTCCTCCCCAAACATGCACCAGCCACCTGCTGGACACCATTGTTCCTTCCCCATGCCCCAGGTCAACCACCTGCTTTTCTCTTGGGGCACATCACATCCTGCTTACACAAGAACTCTCTGCAGGTGTGTGCTTGTCTCTGGACTAAACCAAAGGCTCTTTTGGGAAAGGTGTGTGTCTCGTTCATTTGTGTTTCTTCAGTGCTGGCCCTGCACACAGCAAGTGCTCAAGTGCTTTGGTTGCAGAGTGAGAGAGTGCATGAGCGATGAGAGATGGTGAGAGCATGGGTTGAGGGCAAGGCGTGTGGGAATGGAGGGAGAGACGGGCAGAGAGGTGATGACTCCTCAAACCCGTTGTCATCCTGACCCTGCGGGCAATGGCAGGACTTCCCCAGGGTGAATAACCTTGGGGCTCTGTCCCTCCAGGTCCTGCCCACATCATAAAACAGCGAGTGCTTCCTCTTCAGGACAGGAGGGAGAAGAAGTGGGGTGACTTAGGGGCTGAGCCTCAGCAACTGGGAGAGTTTATAAGCTGGGAAAGCAGACCCCTCAGCACCACCGTTCTCCTCATCCCTCTGCTCTCTGGCTCCAGCCTCCCAGCAGCATGGCTTTCACCGGCAAGTTCGAGATGGAGAGTGAGAAGAATTATGATGAGTTCATGAAGCTCCTCGGTGAGTGAGCTCCTGGGTATCCCTTCCTCGGGGTTGGTTTGTCACGGTGGGACAGGATTTCATTCATTCATTCACACATTTGTTGAGCAACTGCTTTCTCCCAGACTCTGAGGATAATAAGAACTCAGACACTCTTTTTTTTTCTTTTTTTGAGACGGAGTCTTGCTCTGTTGCCCAGACTGAAGTGCAGTGGCGCTATCCCCACTCACTGCAAGCTCTGCCTCCCAGGTTCACACCATTCTCTTGCCTCAGCCTCCCAAGTAGCTGGGACTACAGGCGCCCGTCACCTCGCCCTACTAATTTTTTTTATTTTTAGTAGAGACAGGGTTTCACCATGTTAGCCAGCATGGTCCTGATCTCCCGACCTCAGGTGATCCACCCACCTTGGTCTCCCAAAGTGCTGGGATTACAGGCATGAGCCACCACACCTGGCCGACACTCTTCAACTTTATTTTATTTTATTTCATTTTTGAGACAGAGTCTCACTCTGTCACCTAGGCTGGAGTGCAATGACACCATCTTGGCTCACTGCCACCTCTGGCTCTCAGGTTCAAGTGATTCTCCTGCCTCAGCCTCCCCAGTAGCTGGGATTACAGGTGTGCACCACCACACCTGGCTAAATTTTTTTTGTAATTTTTTAGTTAAGATGGGGTTTTACCATGTTGGCCAGGCTGGTCTTGAACTCCTGACCTCAGGTGATCCACTCGGCTTGACCTCCCAAAGTGCTGGGATTATAGGTGTGAGCCGCCGCGCCCGGCCTAGACACTCTTTGACTTTAAAACACACATAGAATATATTAGTATCTCCACTTTACTGAGGGAAAACTTGAGGCCCAGAGAATTGAGTAACTAGTCCAAAGTCACACAGCTAGTAACTGGTAAAGTGGAAACTTGGTTGGTGAAGTAGAGATTTGATGTTTATTTAGTCAAGCATGTATTTATTTTATTTTTATTTATTTATTTTTGAGACGCAGTCTTGCTCTGTCTCCCAGGCTGAAGTGCAGTGGCATGATCTCAGCTCACTGTAACCTCTGCCTCCTGGGTTCCAGCAGTTCTCCTGCCTCAGCCTCTCGAGTAGCTGGAACTACAGGCGCATGCCACCACATCTGGCTAATTTTTTGTGTTTTCAGTAGAGACAGGGTATCACCCTGTTGGCCAGGCTGGTCTCAAACTCCTAACCTCAGGTGATTCACGCACTTCGGCCTCCCAAAGTGCTGGGATTACAGACATGAGCCACGCGCCCAGCCTGTCAAACATTTATCAAACACCAGGTATATGCAAGACTATCTCAGTGTTACCAATGGGGACTCAGCGTGACTTGCCCAAGTCAGTGGCAGAGGCCATTGGCACCCAGGACCCTATGATGAATGGTCTCACCACATCCTGCCTAGGAGAGGAAACCAAAGGGTTAGCATGGAGACCAGGTTTGACAAGCAACTTCTTCACACAGTCATTCAGCAAACACAGGTCTCTTACTGTGCCAAACACTGTGGGCAGAGATACCAGTGATTTCATTCCTTCTCTCACTGCTTGACTTGTAACACGAGTCTGTTGTGAGGAACCAGTGAGACAGTGGATCTGACAATCTTGTGGAAATCTCAGTATCTCACTATCTAAAAAGTCTCAGGCAGTGTAACTCTCAAGGTTCAGAGGACAGCTCAAGGAGACCCATGCCCTCCCTCTTGGTGGCCACTTCTTGCCTGCCAGCTGGGTCAAAGGAACCCTGAGACCAGGCCCATTGAGCCTTGGGACCTGGAGGAGTCGAGAGCCCCTCTGAGTCATGCACTGGCAGTGGCCCTGAAGGAGCATGACAGCTTCGTGTTGTGGAATGGGAAGGGAGCCCACCTCGGTTCTACACCGATTCTGTCATTAACTTTCAATGAAATACTGGGAAGTCCCTTTCCCATTCTGGGTGCTCACTTCCTTATCTGTAAAATAAAAATATTAGAAGACACAATCTTTTTTTGGTGGAGGGTAGGGGACGGAGTCCTGCTCTGTAGCCCAGGCTGGACTGCAGTGGCACTATCCCCGCTCACTGCAACCTCTGCCTCCTGGGTTTAAGTGATTCTCTTGCCTCAGCCTCTGAAGCAGCTGGTATTACAGGCACCTGCCACCATCCCCAGATAATGTTTTTTTTTTGTATTTTTAGTGGAGATGGGGTTTTACCACATTGGCCAGGCTGGTCTTGAACTTCTGACCTTAAACGATCTGCCCGCCTCGGGTTCCCAAGGTGCTGGGATTACAGGCCTGAACCACCTCACCTGGCCAGAAGGCACAGTCTTGAAAGTCTCATTAATTCCAGAACTTCTCGAGCTTGGCAAGATTCCGTTATATTTATATTACTATCAGAAGCTTGGTTATTATTGATGAGCACCCATTATGTGCCCGGAGCTTCACAAACACACTCACATTGAATATAATTCTTGTAACAGCCCTTTGGGATGGGCCTTATTATCCCCATCTTGCGGATGAATACACTGAGGATGAATACAGAGAGTGACTTCCCCCAGCCACATGGCTCACAACATGTATCACCTGTCTCAGGCACTGTGCTCTTAACCTGCAGGCTAGCCTATCGTGTACATGGGATAGGGCAGCGGGGGTGGGCAGGAAAGCTCTTTCCCCAAACCACAGGGTTAAAAGCAGCTCTTATATGGCTACTCTGCTTATCCCCGGGTCCAGGGCTCTCCAGCGATGTAATCGAAAAGGCCCGCAACTTCAAGATCGTCACGGAGGTGCAGCAGGATGGGCAGGACTTCACTTGGTCCCAGCACTACTCCGGAGGACACACCATGACCAACAAGTTCACTGTTGGCAAGGAAAGCGACATACAGACAATGGGGGGCAAGAAGTTCAAGGTGAGAGGCCACTGGCTGTTCCCGTCCTTCCCCAGGCCTCCACCTGACTTCTCCTTCTCAAACACGGCCTCCCTGCTCCCAAGCTGAGGCTTCTTTCTCCAGTTTGGCCTCCAGCATTAAGAGCTTGAGTTACTTGGCACTTTAATGCTCCTGATTTTTAATGGTCAAAAATGGGCACCAAAACAATAAGAAAAATAGCTAACACTTGCTGAACACTTAATATAACCTAGACTCTTGCTGAATAGATTTTTCATCTTAATACAGTTAATCCTATGACATTGCTACAATTACTCTCCCCAGATTGAGGGGGAAGGCTAAATCATGGGATTAAAAAGCTTGCTGGCCAGGCACAGTGGCTCCTACCTGTAATCTCAGCACTCTGGGAGGCCGAGGTGGGTGGATGGCTTGAGGCCAGGATTTTGAGATTAGCCTGGTCAACATGGTGAAACCCTGTCTCTACCAAAAATACAAAAATTAGCTGGACATGGTGGTGCATACTTGTAATTCCTGCTACTCAGGAGGCTGAGGCAGGGGAATCGCTTGAACCCAGGAGGCAGAAGTTGCAGTAAGCTGAGATCATACCACTGCACTCCAGCCTGGGTGACAGAGTGAGAGTCCATCTCAAAATAAATAAATAAATAAATAAATAAATACCTTGCCTTAGTCACACAACAGGGGCAGGCCTTCACACCAGGCACTAGAGAGCATAGGTGCTTTTTTTTCCTTCGAGATTCACTCTGTCACCCAGACTGGAGTGCAGTTGGCATGATATCAGCTCACTGCAACCTCTGCCTCCCGGGTTCAAGCGATTCCCCTGCCTCAGCCTCCCGAGTAGCCAGGATTACAGGTATGCACCACCACATCTGGCTAATTTTTGTACTTTTAGCTGAGACGGGGTTTCACCATGTTGGCCAGGCTGGTCTTGAACTCCTGACCTTGTGATCTGCCCACCTTGACCTCCGAAAGTGCTGGGATTACAGGCGTGAGCCACTGTGCCCGGCCATAAGTGCTTTTTTAATGTTGCCTCTCTATGTAGCACAGAGATAAAGAGGCTGGGCCCTGGAGTGAGCCTTGGCTGGGTTTGAAACCATGATTTCCCACCAGCAATTGTAGGGCCTTGGGTAAGTCATTTTACTCCCCTGAGCCTCGTATCTCTAGTAGGCAAAAGGAGACTACATACAGTCTCTGGCTCCAAGAGCTGTGGTGAAGATTAAACAAGACAGTGCATGAAAGCACCTGGCATAGTGCCTACCACATATTGAATGCTAGAAGAAAAAACGCAGTCATTTGCTTTTGTTTTAGAAGTGAAGAAACTGGCCGGGCACGGTGGCTCAGGCCTGTAATCCTGGCACTTTGGGACGCCGAGGCAGGTGGATCACGAGGTCAGGAGTTCGAGACCAGCCTGGCCAATATGGTGAAATGCTGTCTCTACTAAAATTACAAAAATTAACCAGGCGTGGTGGCGGGCACCTGTAATCCCAGCTACTTGGGAGACTGAGGCAGGAGAATCACTTGAACCCGGGAGGCGGAGGTTGCAGTGAACTGAGATCACACCATTGCACTCCAGCCTGGGCAACAGGGAATGGGGTGAGGCTCCACCTCAAAAAAAAAAAAAAAGAGAACTGAAGAAACTGAGGCTCAGGGATACCAAGTAATGGGTCTAAGGCCCTGCAGCCAGAACATGCAGGGACCAGGGATTTGAACCCCAGCTATTTGCCTCTATCATTAGGCCTCTGGTGACCCATGTGGAGTTGTAATTATAGAAAGGGAGTCAGGCTGGTGGCAGCAAGGGAAAGCAAAAAAGGAGAGCAGATAAGCTATAAGTCTGCCTTTCTTCATGGTCCAGAACACATACCCCTCCTGTGCAAATAACTCACAATCTTCCTGTGCCCAGCTATCATCACCTCCACTGATAGAAATATGTAAGTTATCTCACTATAACCTTTGCTTTGTCAGTACTGCACAAAACCCTCTTCAGCACACTGCATAAGCAACAGTCTATAAACTCTCCAGCAAGACTTTGTCTCCTTGCAGTCAGCTCCTCTCTTGCTGACCTGCCCAGTGCACCCTTGCAACATATTTTCATACTTTCTCTAAGAAATCTGACTTTTCTTTTGCCTACAACTGTCTTGGTAAATTCTTTTTTTTTTTTTTTGAGACAGTCTTGCTCTGTTGCCCAGGCTGGAGCACAGTGGCACAATCTCTGCTCACTGCAGCCCCTGCCTCCCGGGTTCAAGCAATTATCGTGCCTCAGCCTCCCAAGTAACTGGGATTACAGGCATAAGCCACCACATCCGGCTAATTTTTGTATTTTTAATAGCGGGGTTTCACCACGTTGGCCAGGCTGGTCTTCCTGACCTCAAGTGATCTGCCCACCTCAGTCTCCCAAAGTGCTGGGATTATAGGCGTAAGGCACTGCGCCTGGCCTTGGTAAATTCTTCTTACTCCCCGTGCCACCAGCCCCAGATAGTTACCAATCACCTGCAACAACCCAGGCTTAATGTTGTGCTTCCATTCCAGGCCACCGTGCAGATGGAGGGTGGGAAGCTGGTGGTGAATTTCCCCAACTATCACCAGACCTCAGAGATCGTGGGTGACAAGCTGGTGGAGGTGAGTGTCCTGCTGGTCCCTGGGATGATTACTGGACATTTGTCTGTCTCCTGGCCACAGCCCCTCAGAGGTAGGCCTCTGGGCAGCTGGCTTTACCAGCACTTCCCTTGTACCAGGCTCTATGCTGAGTGCTGGATGCACACGATATCATTTGGTCTTCAAATAACCCTGTTAGGTGGGGATTTTGGTCTCCATTTTAGGAGGAGACTGAGGCACGGGGAAGCTAAGTGAGGGAGCACACAGCTTTGATGACAGAGCTGGGATTTGATGCTAAGCAGCCTGACTGCAGCACGCACACTCAGCCACCTCTGGGGCACAAGACTGGAAGCCCGGAAGATCCTTCCCAGAATATAAATAAAGGAGGTGGTCCAGGTGGGCTCCTCCAGGGACAGCCACCACTCCACTCCATTTCCATGAGGGACATCAGGCGCCTTCTACCAGATCTTCTGATTTATCCAGAGAAGATGGAAATTTGCACTTCCATGTGAAATCTCCACACTATTAAATATTGGCAACCAGTTAAAAAATTCTTTCAATATTGGCAGGTCCAACACACCCATCTGTGGACCCTCCTACACAGGAGGGGGTGCCCTGGGAGGCCCTTCTTCTCACTTCTGTTTCTTTCCCGTGGGTCTCCAAGTTTTCCCCAGGTGGAAGAAATGGATGTGAAGTTAACAGGGAAAAGAAGGCATTTCCACACTTCATTCCCTCACTGTGAGCCTGTGACCTGCGTCAGAGACCCTCTGGGGTCCTGTTTGATTTAGAAAGGGCCCTTCCCTCCTCCCTGAAGCTCTTTAGCAGGGAAGACGTGATGAGGGAGGCAGGGTTTGTGTGACCCCCTTGCTTCTCCTTCTTTGATCTCTCTCTCTCTCTCTGTCTGTCATTTCCTTGTGCCCTCATCTCAAGCCCTGTCAAGAGGAAAGGAGCACACTGCCTCTCTCAGACACTGGTGTAAATGATTTACACCACAGACACTTATTTCAAACAGCTCTGGAGGCTGGGAAGTACAAGATCAGGGTGCCAGCATGGGCAGGGGCTTATTGAGGCGCCCCGTCCTGGGTTTCTTCACAATGGCAAGGGAGACTCATCTTCTCTCGTGTCTGGTTTGTTGGTTTTTTTTTTTTGAGACAGAGTCTTGCTCTCTTGTCCCAGGCTGAAAAAGTTCAGTGCGAAACTTGGCCTCACTGCAACCTCCACCCCCAGGTTCCAAGCAATTCTCCTGCCCTCAGCTCCCGAAGTAGTTGGGATTACAGGTGCGCACAACCCATGCTTCCAGGCATTTTTGTATTTTAGAGTAGACGGGGTTTCACCATGGTTGGCCAGGGTGTCGATCCATGAGATGACCCCTCTGGCCCCCAAAGTCTGGATTACAAGTATGAGCCACTGTGCCCGCGGCCTTTTTTTTTTTTTTTTTTGAGACAAGTTTACTCTGTCCGCCTACGCTTGGAGTACCAGTGTGTGTGATCTCAGCCTCACCTGCAACCTCCGCTTCCCCATCATAGTGAAGTTCTCATTGCCTCAGGCCTCAGCTGAGGTTAGCTGGGAATACAAGCATGTGCCACCATGCAAGCTAGTTTTTGTAATTTTAGTAGAGACAGAGTTTCACCATGTTGGTCAGGCTGGTCTTGAACTCCTGACCTCAAGTGATCTGCCTGCCCTGGCCTCCAAAAGTGCTGGGATTACAGGCATGAGCCCCTGTATCAGGCCTTGTGTCTGTTGTTATAAGGGCACTAATCCCTCATGAGAACTCCACCCTCATAACCTAATCACCCCCTAAAGGTCCTATCTCTAAATAACATCACATTGGGGCTTCAACCTTTACCATATGGGTTTGGTTGGGGGACACACATGGAGTCCGTAACACGGCCCAAGAGGTTCCGTGCCCTCCCATTATACTCATTTTACAGAGCAGCATTACAAGGCTCAGAGATAGCATGGGACTTGGCCATGGCCGCACAGCTAGTACACGCAGAGGCAGATCTCATCTGCTGACTTCTAGACTAGACCCCCTGCCTCTTCAGGCCCACAGGTCTTTTTTATCCCCCTTTAACATTTTTGTTTAAATAATCTAAAACTTGGCTGGGTGTGGTGGCTCATGCTTCTAATCCCAGCACTTTGGGAGGCTGAGGCAAGTGGATCACCTGAGGTCAGAAGTTCAAGACCAGCCCAGCCAACATGGTGAAACCCAGTCTCTACTAAAAATACAAAAAAAAATTAGCTGAGTGTGGTGGCGCACACCTGTAATCCCAGCTGCTTAGGAGGCTGAGGCAGGAGAATCGCTTAAATCCGGGAGGTGGAGGTTGCAGTGAGTAGAGAATATGCCCACTCCAGCCTGGGCAACAAGAGCAAAACTCCGTCTTAAAAAAAAAAAAAAAAAAAAGTCTAAAAATTAATAGATGTACAGTGTTGAAAAACTGTAAAAAGAACAAAAGTGACTATATCCCTCTTCTCCTGGGTGAAAACTGACATTTCGAAGGAGCTAATGAAAGGACTTTTGATGCATTTTTACATGAAATGTCAGTCAATAACTCCCAGAAGCAGCAAAGTTCCCCAGCCTGTGAGGTGAGCAGGGAGAGCATAGGGCAGGAGAACTGGAAGCAGATTTGGGCCTGAAAAGAGAATTGATCTTCCCAAGCTGAGCGAACTTGCTTGTCAATACCCAGAGGTTCCTCATCATGGAGCCCATGTGGTGTGGGCAGTGGCTGGAGTTCAGGGTCGTCATGCACACACACACATGACACAGCTAGGCACACACACATGTATGCATGCATATAGACCCAGGCACGTGCACACATAAACAAAGTTCCATGACTAGGCCCTGAGAGGAGCTGTCTTGATTGCAAATCTCCCATCTCTAGAGGCCTAGAATCATCCTGGAACCTCCCCACTTCTCTACCAACAGACAGTGCATTTTGTAAGCATCCCTCCTGCCTTCTGCCACCAGAAGGCATGGTGTTCTCATCACCTCTCCCCTACACTAAGCCCCAGCCTCCTCTGATTCCACCTCTCCGCTACCTTCCATCCATCCCATATGCAAGTCACACATCACTTCACACTGCTGCCCTTTGTCATGAATCAGGACGAAACTCCTCCGCTTGACCTTCCATGGCCTTACTGCCCAGTCCTACAGGTATGCTCTGCCCAGCCCCCCTGGACCAGCTACTGCTCCTGAGCTGGCCAGAGCCATTCCTATCTCCCTTTCTGTGCCATGTGGTTTCTCTGCTCTGAACTCCCTTTCTCCTGTTTGCTTTTCCAAATCCAATTCTGCAGGCTTCTGTCCAACAGCCAATTCCCCGTCCTGTTACCTAGTCAGTGGCTCCCTGCCTCCTCTGGGCTCTCCCACAGCTCTGTTTGCTATCCGCCCTTATCATGGAAATGCTGCTTTCCTTTGCTGGGTGTGCGAACCAGCTGATGACATGTGCACCTCCAATGGCAGCACAGCTCCACGGCAGGGAGCCCCAGGCACCACACACTGTGGGCCTTCAATGAACTGCATGCCCCCGCCTGCCTCTCCCACTAAACCTTAGGCTTCCAGAGAGTAGGGACTGTATCTTCCCATCACCGAGCACGTGACAGGTACCCATAAACACTGTGCGGTGCAGCCATGGCGTGTGGCCTTGGAAGGGTTACTTGACTTCTCTAAACTTCCATTTTCTCATCTGTACAATGAGAACAACCTCACAGGGCTGTTGGGAGGATTAAATGGAATCATGCAGGGGAATCATGGGTGAATGGAGAGGAACAGAGGTGCAGGGTTCCACACCCAGAGCCACATCACCCCTCACAGCTGGTTACCATTCATCACAGGGAGTCTGCACACTGACTCCTGGAACAAATTGGGGAACTGAGGCCCAAAGAAGTGGTGCACCTGACTCTCATCTACTCAAGGCTGGGGTTGGAGGCTCATCTTCCTTCAGCGGTGCCTCCTGGCTACCTTGGGGTGGGGCACTGACTCCCTCTGTCCTGGCGGCTTCTTTCAGGTCTCCACCATCGGAGGCGTGACCTATGAGCGCGTGAGCAAGAGACTGGCCTAGGCATCCAGGCCCGGCCCAGGGAGCTACAAACCCGCCAATAAAACTGATACAAGGACAGACGCTGCTCGCTCCAGAACCTCTTTGTTTTTCTCTTCTGGTGTCTTGGGATGGGCTCTGGCTGGGTGAGGGTGGGAAAGCCCCCAAGGGTGGCCACATGGGCCACACATTGGCCCTGAGATCCCTGTGAGATTCACGTCATGGCAGAGCAAGACATGAATGTGGATGACTGCAATGCTCCTGCCCTCTGGGTGAGGCTGAAGGTGGCACACAGGAAGCATGGTGGGCACACTTCTGTGGCCCCTTCGCCCCACTCTGCCACCCACTACTCTGTGCTGCTTGAAGGTTCCTTTATGGAGACAAAGTCAGCTGGGAAGGGTAACACATTGATTCTCGGATGGGCCACAGGACAGGCATATCAGGACTTGGGGGTTGTGGGGTGGGAGCTGTTCCTCTAGGAAGGGCCCTGGCTGCTGGGCTCCTAAGCTCAAAGTAGGGATGGACCAGAGCTCACCCAGGGAAGCTGTTTCAGCTTGGCCAGGGTTCTGCTGTTATTCGCTGTGGAGTCATCCCTTTGGTCCTCAGTTTACCCACTGAGGGGTACAAAGGGGGTCCAGGAGGACCAGTGACGGGGCTGAGGGGGATCAGTGGTCTATGAGATGGCAAAGGGGCAATGGGGGTGATAGGAGGGGCAGGAGGTACTGGAGTGTCCTGGTTTTGACTCACAGGGCTTGGGCGGGGTGCCTGGGAAGAACTTCGAGAGGCTACGGGGGGCTGGGAAGGGGGGTGGGGGCGGGGTCACCCTGACATCTGGTGCCTGGAGTCCTGGGTTGAGAAGCATTCTGAGGTAACGTTTGGGTTTGGCAGATGTCCTGGGACAATCTCTAATCCAGAATCCTGAAGGGGACCTTTTTCATCCTCCTCTCTCCTTAGAAGTGTTACCACATCTGGGTACCACCTTGACCTCTTTTTTACCCAATATTTTTCTTTTCTTTTTTTTTTTTTTTGAGACGGAGTTTTGCCCTTATTGCTCAGGCTGGAATGCAATGGCATGATCTTGGCTCACCGCAACCTCCGCCTCCTGGGCTCAAGCGATTCTCCTGCCTTAGCCTCCCAAGTAGCTAGGATTATAGGCAAGTGCCACCACGCCTGGCTAATTTTGTATTTTTAGTAGAGACAGGGTTTCTCCACGTTGGTCAGGCTGGTCTCAAACTTCTGACCTCGGGTGGTCCACCTGCCTCGGCCTCCCAAAGTGTTGGGATTACAGGCGTGAGCCACTGCGCCCGGCTACCCTGTATTTTTCTATATGACAATTCACTTATTTTTACTATAATGGAAAATCACGTCACTTCCATACATAGACAACCACTGTTATTTGCCATAATTTAAAACTATTTAAAAAGTCAAAGCTGAACAATGTTGACTTCTAGCCAGATTCTGTTGCCTGCCCAAGGCCCTGGGCCTAAGGCCTCCCTTTGTGAAAAGGGTGAGAGAGGTAAAAGATATAGTGGTATCAAATGGGAAAATTTATCCTTAACTTATCAAAATTCCTGAGATACTACTGAAAGGAGAATGTACTCACTATAAGAGTTGAATTACCGAAGGCAGGTAGTACTCACATTATTTCGAATGTACAAGTCCCACATGTGAGACATAAGGAATAAGGTTTGTCCAGAGCTTTGCATGGGGTATGGCACACAGAAGGGGCCTAATAAGTGCTACCTGACCTAAGGTCCTTCTAGCTCTGTGTAATTTGCAGCCTTTCACTCTTGTGGGCCAGCCTCAACCTGGACAGATGTCACGGCCCAGGTCACAGGCAGCCTTTTCTTGCCTCCTCCCACATTCTACTTTGAAACCTTATCTTTCTAAGAACAATACACAGCCTCTCCCCACCCACTCAGCAAGGACCCATGAATTCCACCGTTTTTCCAAGACTTATTACTAATTAAGTGAACTAGGTAAGCATTAAATTAAACTAGCAGTGTTGCTGTTTCCCCTCCAGACTGAATAATTACTCATAATGAGCTTGGATAATAAGTCTCTAAATAACAGAGTTAACTATAATTAGGCTGAAAATTGAGAGAAGGGGAGAGACAGAAAGAGGAAGGAAGAGGAGAGAGAGAGGGAGGGAGGGAGAGACAGAAGAGATAAGGTAGAATTTTTACTCCTGTAATTGATTCAGGAACAAATTCAAATTGTTGGCAGGGGAGAAATTCTTTTTTTTTTTTTTTTTTTTTGAGACAGAGTCTTGCTCTGTCACCAGGCTTAAGTGCAGTAACGTGATCTCGGCTCATTGCAACTTCTGACTCTCTGGTTCAAGCGATTCTCCTGCCTCAGCCTCATGAGTGGCGTGGATTACAGGTACGTGCCACCACATCCAGCTAATTTTTGTATTTTTAGTAGAGACGGGGTTTCACCATGTTGGTCAGGATGGTCTCGATCTCCTGACCTCGTGATCCCCCTGCCTAGGCCTCCCAAAGTGTTGGGATTACAGGCATAAGCCACAGCCCCCAGCCAGGGGAGAAAGTCTGAAGCCTGTGTTGTTATAAACTCACAGATTCACAGACGATGGAAAAGCAGGACCTCAGCTCTCAACTAGTTTAAACTCTGTATTTCACAGACATGGAAACTGAGGATCAGAGAGGAAAAGAAATTCATCCAAAGTCACACAGCAGTGAGTGAGTGAGTCTCTGAGAGTAATCTGGGTGTGGGCTTCACCCACCAATGCAGCTACAGTTTCTCAGTGTGGGTAAATAGAATAAGGCAAGCTGGAGAAAAGCACCTATGTCATTGGCATCTTGGCAGGGAGGATTCCTCAGCCAGAAGAGCCAGTGGTTAAGAGCTTTGACTCTGGGCCGAGTGCGGTGGCTAACACCTGTAATCCCAGCACTTTGGGAGGCTGAGACAGGAGGACCATTTGAGCCCAGGAGTTTGAGAACATAAGGAGACTTCATCTCTACAAAAAATTAAAACATTAGCTGGGCATGTTGGCACATGCCTGTGTTCCCAGCTACTTGGGAGGCTGTGGTGGGAGGATAGAATGGGCCCGGGAAAGTCAAGGCTGCAGTGAGCCATGATTGCACCACTGCATTCCAGCCTGGGTGACAGAGCGAGCCCCTGTTTCAAAAAAAAAAGAGCTTTGGGGACGGGCACAGTGGCTCACACCTATAATCCCAGCACTTTGGGAGGCTGAGGCGGGTGGATCACTTGAGGTCAGGAGTTAGAGACTAGCCTGGCCAACACAGTGAAACCCCATCTCCACTAAAAATACAAAAATTAGCCAAGTGTGGTAGCACATGCCTGTAATCTCAGCTACTTGGGAGGCTGAGGCAGGAAAATCACTTGATCCCAGGAGGTGGAGGCTGCAGTGAGCCGAGACGTGCCATTGCACTCCAGCCTGGGAGACAGAATGAGACTCTGTCAAAAAAAAAAAAAAAAAAGAGATTTGGTTTTGGAGTCACATTACTAGGATTTGAATCTTTTCTTTATCACCTAGTAGCTGTGTCACCTTGGGGTAAGTTCATGCATTTCTCTGAGCCTCAGTTTCCTCACCTGTCAATGGGAATAACAACTGTACTTACCTAATAGAGTTGCTCAAAGTCACTCAATGTTAGTTCTACCATCACCTCCATCATCACAACCATCACTCTCAGGTCAGTGCAATCAAAGGGTTAGGAATGCCTCTGTCACTAACTTGTGAGTCACTGGACCTCTCTGAGCCTCATCTTGGTCATGTGTAAAATGAGTTAGTAAGACCTTCCCTTCCTTGGTCACAGGGGAGTTACAAGGATAAAGGGTAAAAATCCATGCTTTGGGAGGACAAGGCGGGCAGATCACTGAGCCAGGAGTTCAAGAACCAGCCTGGGCAACATGGTGAAATCCCATCTCTACGAAAATACAAAAGTGAGCCGGCATGGTAGCATGTGCCTTTAGTCCCAGCTACTTGGGAGGATGAGGTGGGACAATCACCTGAGCCCGAGGAGGTCGAAGCTGCAGTGGCCATGATTGCACCACTGCATTGCTGCCTGGTGACAGAGTGAGATCCCGTTTCAAAAAAGTATTTTTTTAATCCATGTTCGTGACTCCCAGAAAGTTAGATTGGCTTCATCATTTGCTGCACTGTGCAACAAGCTAGAAGGACTTCCCATTCCACAGACCTGGTTCAGGTGCCCTTTACCACAGGGTCTCTCTGACCATCACCCTGACATTTGGGAGCCATCTCTCCCACTCTGCCCGGGCACCTGCCTCCCTCCTGGCAAGCTCCTTTGGTGAACTTGGGAGCTACTCATAGCATCTTTAAAGATCACCACTAGGGCTGGACGCAGTGGCTTATGCCTGTGATCTAAGCACTTTGGGAGACGGAGGTGGGCAGATCGCTTGAGCTCAGGAGTTTGAGACCAGCCTAGATAACACGGTGAAACCTTGTCTCTACAAAAAATGCAAAAAACTTAGCTGGGCTTGGTGGTGTGCATCTGTAGTCCCAAATACTTGGGAGGCTGAGGCGGGAGGATGGCTTGAGCCCAGGAGGCAGAGGTTGCAGTGCGCTGAGATCACGCCACTGCACTCCAGCCTGGGGGAAAGAGCCAGACAATGTCTTTAAAAAATAAAAAAAAAAAAAAGAAGAAGATCACCATTAGGTGGCACTCTGCCACCTGCCTGCCATTCCTTGGATACCTGATGTGTTTGGGGGGTAGGAGCAGTGAAATCTTGAGTGATTGGGACTTCGTGTGGCTGTGTGTCACCTAGGGGTGACATGGCATGGGGAGACCTTCAGCCTCCCCAATCCTCAGTATCCTCATCTAGGCAACAGTGATAATCCAACTAGCTCATGGTGGCGTTGTGAGGGCAAAAGAGGAGTAAGGATAAGAGCATGAGGAAAGTGCCAAAGACAGGGCCTGCCGCATAGTAAGTGTGCACAAAAGAGCTATTAAGGGCTCTTCCTGAAAGGTCTACTGGTGAGAACTGGCACATACAGGGTAGGGCTTTAGAGCAGGGAGAAGTGTCCAAGCCTGGCTGTGCACGAGCTTCTCCTGGGAAACCTCCCATCTCAGACCTGCTGGACC